AAACTTTTCACTCTCTAAAAAAAAAAAAAAAATTTAAAAACCAGAATTAGTTACATCATCAAACTTATTCTTGGAATCTCTCTATTCGTTTTATAAAAATGAGGCCTACTCAAGTTAGGTGTGAAGGCACACACCTGTAATGCAGGGACTCAGGGGCTGGGGCAGGAGGATCACAAGTTTGAAGCCAGCCTATGTACTTAGTGAGACCCTATCTCAAAAAAAAAAAAAAAAAGAAAGAAAGAAAAGAAAAAAGGAATGTAGCTCCATGGTAGAGGTAGAGCACCTCTGAGTTCAAACCCCAATACCCACCTTGTCCCCACCCAACAAAAGGAAAAAAAAAAATGCCTGCTTTTTCTAAAGCATTCAAACAAGCTACATAATTCACCTCAAACCCGTCCCAGAAAGAGATGCTGCTGATCCTGCAGACCAACCCATGTGGACACCATGCATTACTATGTTGGCAAATAATCAGCAAAATATAGCAAAATCAAATATTTTTAGAAACTGTTAAAAAGGTAATACTTTCCCCAAATTTACAAGGTTCAATGTGAGAATGAAGGCAGTGAGAATGTGTTCCCACTCCCCTACTCAGGCACATCCTTCCAAGGCTGTTTAAGCACCTACACACTAAGACACGGGTACGAATGTGTATGTATGCACACACACATACACACATATTTTGAAAAATGGGTTGACTGTTCCTTATCCAAAAGGCTTGTTACTGTGTTTCAAACTTCTGACTTTGGAATATTTGCATAGACTTTTTATAAGTTGAGCATCCTTAATCACAAAATCAGAAATTTGAAATTCTCCAAAATCTGAAACTTTAAAATTAAAAATTTAAAAAGCAAAATACCAAAGTGAAGCCAAATGAATTGCTGCACTCCAAATAAATTGTTTCCTTACCACAGAAGAGATATTTTTCAGCCGGGCACGGTGGCGTAAGCCTATAACCCCAGCAGCTCAGGAGGCTGAGGCAGGAGGATCATGAGTTCAAAGCCAGCCTCAGCAACTTAGTGAGGCCCTAAGCAACTCAGTGAGATCCTATCTCTAATAAGAATATGAAAAGGGGGTGGGGATGTGGCTCAGTGGTTAAGTGCCCCTGGGTTCAATTCCCAGCATGGGGGAAAACAAAAGAGAAAGTATTTTTCAAAAATCCTCTCTGTTAAGAAGAAAGCTAGTGAGAGAGCAGTAGAGGATGAGAATTCAGAAAGCACTAAGTGACTAGAGTGGCCCCTTGGTATCGGACATGGAGCAACACAGGAAGCACTCCCACTTCTTTTCACAATTCCCCCACGTCCCAAATTATCCTAAGTTTGATCAGGCTCTATTTTAGCATCTATTCTAGAACCACAACCCAAAAA